AGACTCTGTGGGGATTCTGCTTTAACAACTCACGAAAGTTTAACACATTGTATGTTACTTTCCTATACATGATACAAGGTCATGGTTCTAGAATTTCTTCCAAGACTTTAGTTTCTAGAAGTTTGTGAGAGACAGTGCTCTGTGTTACATCATGTTTGCTCAAGGGCCCACACGCTTCATTTTCTAGGCTGCCTTGCAGTTGGGCTGGGGCAGCATCCCTGCGTTCCCGCCAAAGGTGACACAGGCCATGTCCAGTCCTGGCCTTTAAAAATATGTGGTATCACTTCCTAGCAATATTTTTCCCTGCTGCAGCACATGTGTGTTCTATGTGGCTTAGATATAAAATGGGTAATGCTACCCAAACCACATCAGATTTTCCATTATGGAGGGAAAAAAAGCTTAAAATAATCTCAAGTAAGCCTTTCAGACTTGGGGCTAATTATTATTGCTACATAGACCAAGTAGGACCTGACTTACTGGGGAAGTATAGTAGATTAGTACATGGACTACTTGAAAACAATAAAAGTACTAGAAAAAAATTGAGCATCTTTTAAAATATGCAAAATATCTGTTTTTAAACAAATCAATTTCTCAAAAGATTTGATAAAAAAAGAGGACCAAAGCTAACTTTCTCATCTAGAGTGTTTACAAAATTAGAAGAACTTGGGCTTCAGTTTTTAAGGCCTCCAACTATGCAAGGTCATCAGAAGACAAATCATAAGGTCTGCCAAAGGTAGAAATCTAAAAGAAGACTGTACCGTATATGAGGAGAGATCCAAAAAAACCCCGGAATTATTTAATTTAAAAACTGTGTATTTGATCTTTTATGTTTAAACTTAAATCACCTTCAAAGTGCTCTCTGTTGATTCACTTATCGAGAAGCTTTTTCCACTGCTTAAAAGTTTTTGAACTTGTCCATTTTGATGCCTTTTAGTGCTTCTTTGTTTTTTTGTTTAACTTCTTGGACACTGGCAAAACATTTCCTTTCGAGGACTTTCTTCACCAAGGAAACAAACACACAAAAAAATTGCTTAGGGCAAGATGAGGTGAATAGGGAGTGTGGAGCACAGGGGTCATGCCATTTTGATTCAAAAGGCACCATGACAGGTGCCTTATCGTGGCGGAAGAACCAGTTACTTGTTTACCACAATTTGGGACATTTCTTTCAAATCATGACGAAACATTCTCAGGATTTCCAGAGAAAAACGTTGGCTGACTGTTTGATCCGGAGAACCAAATTCCAAATGTACTATAAAAGGCCGGCCCTCCAAAAGACAATTCAAGTTTTTTCGTAAAGCAGAGATCCCAAATAGCAAGATGAATATGAATAACATTCCCGTTGGACTGCTAGGAAAACTACTCAACCAAACCTACGCTCTCCATATCTGAATAGGGGAAAAAAAGTCTCCCTGAGCATTTGTGACCAGACATCAAATTCCCATACACTGCCAGCATGGTCCAAAATGTCATTAGCTATTAATGCTCCCACAGAACTGAGCTAGAAGTCCACTCAGGATCCTGGCAAAAGCAAATGTAAATCCTCCTTGGAATTACTTTTTTATTTATTTATTTTTTTACAGTTGGAATCTCGTTCCATGGCCCAGGCTGGAGTGCAGTGGCACGAAAGCTCACGGCCACCCCAGCGTCAACCTGCTAGGCTCCAGTGATCCTTCTGCCTTAGCCTTCCAAGTAGCCAGAACTACAGGTGCCTGAGTTACCACACCCGGCTAACTTTTTATTATTTGTTTATTGTAGAGACGAGGTCTCGCCAAGTTGCCTGGGCTGGTCTCGAACCCGTGGGCTCAGGCAATCCACTCGCCTCAGCCTCCCAAAGTGCTGGGATTACTTTTAACTCACACCTCAACTTCCACAGATAAATTCTCTGAAAATCACAAAACACAGAAGACATTGAGGTTACAAAAATATAAAGGGAAAAGTGAACATAAAAGACAGTTGAGCTACATTAGAATTATTCTAGAATATAAAGTATGTGTGATAAATGTGTTTAAAGAAAGACCCTTGAAAATGTGAGTGAAGGGCAAGCATATAAGAAGAATGGTAGCAGGAATTTAAAACTCAGTGGGTGGGTTTAACACAGAAAAGACATAGTTTAAGTGAGAGAATGAAGTTGAATGCAGAGGTGATAAAGAATTTCAGAATGCAGCCTACAGAGAGGAAGGCACAGAACATACGAAAGAGAAGTTTTGAGATACATATGATACAAATAGAGGATCCTAAATACATTTAATTAGAGGTGCAGAAGGAGAGAGAAAGAATAGGGCAGTATTTGAAAACATAATTCTTGAGTGTTTTCCAGGACTGATAACAGACATGTCATTACCATTCTAATTATATCATTTCTAATGACATCATCATTAGAAATTTATTCTGAGGCAGTGAAATTAATAATCATGTAACTTATGAATAGCTAAAGCTAAAGAGTTTCTTTTAAATACTTAACAAAATTAAAGCCAGTTTCCAGTTATAATGGCAATCTATAGATGGAGGAAATCCAATGACTCTCAAGCTGAATGCATTTGAAAGTCCAGAATTACACCAATTGTATTAGGAAGGATGCAAAACACCAAAAACAGTGAGAAGATCTAAAAGGCATAAGTCATGTTTTACATGTGGCTTTTTCTATCAGTTAACCTTCCATTTATACTTTTTAAAAATTACTGCACTCCATCTTTAACTAGAATATATGCAAAACACCAAAAACAGTGAGAAGATCTAAAAAGCATGTCACGTTTTACATGTGGCTTTTTCTATCGGTTAATCTTCCATTTATACTTTTTAAAAATTATTGCACTCCATCTTTAACTAGAATATATACATAGAGACTTGTTACAATTGACTACTTTAGCTATCCATATCATCGATTCAATACAATAAAGCTCAATGATTCACAACAGTAGAAAGTTTCAAGCTTGGGGGGGCACACCTCATCAACAAGGGTACCTACATAATGAACATCTGTATACCTAACCCTGAATTGTACCCCCCATTTTTAAAATTAAAAATAAAAAAAGAAAGTTTCAAGCTTAAGAAATTGTTGGGAAACTATGGGAACTTAATAAACATATAATTGCATGCCCCTGCCCAAATTATTTATTCTTTCATTGGTTTTAGGTACTAATCCTTTAACACTGCATTATGATTACATTTTTATAAATGTCTCCTTCACTGGACATGAACTAGACAGTAAAGATTATATGTAGGCTGGGCACAGTGGCTCACACCTATGACCCCAGCACTTTGAGACGCCAAGGTGAGAGGATTGTCTGAAACCACAGGTTTGAGACCAGCCTGGGCAACTTGGCAAGACCTCATCTCTACAATAAATCAAAAAATAAGCCGGGCATGGTGGCATGTGCCTGTAGTTCCAGCTACTCGGAAGGCTGAGGCGAAAGGATTGGAAACATGCCACTGCCCTCCAGCCTGGGTGGTGACAGAGTGAGATTCCATCTCTCTCTCTCTCTCTCTCTCTCTCTCTCTCTCTCTCTCTCTCTCATGGAGTTTGAAATCTGAATTTTTCTGCTCCCCTTCCACATATTTCCAGGGAACAACAAGGGTGAGAAATGCACAGAGCCAGGGAAAAAGAAAATCCAACACCAAGCATGCATCAAACCTGCTATATTAACCAAACAACAATTTTTAGTAATGACATGATTCAGATGGTGGAAAGAAGATGAGGTAGAAGCAAAATTATAATATATTACAATAAGAGGAAGGAAAAAAGAAAGAACAAAAACTGCCTATGGTCCTTTAAAAATTATTACCAAATGATTCTTTTCAACTTAAATCCACTGATTAATCTCATAAAATGTGTTTATTTAATAGGAATTCTATTTTGTGCACTACACTGATAGAAAATTATCTTGAAGTTTATTATTAGAAATGAATGACATCATTATTAGAAATTTATTCTGAGGTAGTAAAATTAATAATTGCACAGCTTATAAATAGTAAAAGCTAAAGATTTTCTCTTAAATACTCAACAAAATCAATTATAATGACAACACTAAAACCATATAGGAATTTCATTAGAAATATTTGCCACCAGGCACAGTGACACACGCCTGTAATTCCAGCACTTTGGGAGGCCTAGGCAAGAGGATTGCCTGAATCCAAGGGTTCAAGACCAGCCTGGGCAACTTAGTAAGACCTTGTCTCTACAATAAATAAAATAACTTAGCTGGATGTAGCTGCATGTGCCTGTAATTCCAGGTACTTGGAAGGCTGAGGCAGAAGGATCACCAGAGTCAAGCATGTAGAGGCTGTGGTAGCTGTGAGTGTGCCACTGTACTCCAACCTGGGCAACAGAGTGAGGCTGCCAATCAAAAAAAAAAAAAGAAAAAGAAAAATGTTTGCCAAGTCTTCTGTTTTTCCTAGTTGCGGTTTTTCTTTTTCTTTTTTTGAGTCAGAGTCTCACTCTGTCATCTAGAGTGCAGTGGCACGCTCATGGCCACCGCAACCTTGACCTGCTGGACTCAGGCAATCCTTCTGCTTCAGCCTTCCAAGTAGCTGGAACCACAGGCATACGCCACCACACCTGGTTAATTTTTTGATTTATTGCAGAGAAGAAGTCTTGCCAAGTTGCCCAGGCTGGTCTCAAACCCCTGGACTCAGGTAATCCTCTCGCCTCTGTCTCCCAAAGTGCTGGGATTACAGGCGTGAGCCACTGCACCTGACAGGTTACGGTTATTCTCAAGTGTCATTCACATTTAGCAGCTCAAAATACAAAATGGCTATATGTAATTCTTAGTCAATTTAATTAAAAGTTACATTTTTTTTTCTTCTGGACACTAAAATGAAAACTTGGAGGCTTCTCCACATTTTTGCTGGTCAGTGACCTGGTGGTACTAACGTAAGCCACGGTAAGCAAACATGGTCAACTCCACTCCTAGTCAGACACAAACGGGGTCAATGTTTTCTCCTAGTATACTCAAAGTGTTATAAAGAAAAGTGCTCACATTTTCTTTATTTTTCACACTTACCGGCTGAAGCAAGTAAATGAGAGATTCTTCTTGGATGATAATAATTGGCAAAGGAGTGATGTGTGTCGCTTGGAACAGAGTATGTACAGATGCCATAATCTGGTCAAAACGCCCAGCAAGGCCTCCCAGTGTCACAATCACATCAACCTAAGATAAGCAGATAAAACTGGGTATCACGTATTTCAAGAATTTAAAATAATTATTAGTATCAAATACCTGAATAGAGTTTTCAGTACTATATTGTATTTGATAAGCAATAAAGAAAACAGACATCATTTCTATTCTTCAGTTAAGGAAATTAAGTACCTTTTTCAAAGGCATATGATTGGCAAGTGGCAAAGTCAGGTATGAAGACCAACTCTTTTCAGTACATATGCTCAGTTTTTCCCACCTGCCTAACCACCTCGAAGACTAGCCAACCTTCCCTTTAAAACTCAGTTTATGTGTTCTTTTCATTAATAGAAACTCTTTCATTTCTAAAGGAATAATAAATGGTACCAGATTCATAAAGCCAAAGGTTGTGTTTCTCTTGTTAAATGTTATAGCCCTGATACTTTGAATATGCTTTGCATACAAGATGCTCAAGAATTTGAAGAATGAGTAAATGAAGACATTGCAGGAAAAGACTCATTAGCTTAAGAACAGAAAAAGATCAGGCAATGAAGAAATTGATTAATTGCCATACTGAGAGAATGGGGTTCCATAAAAAGCACTAAAAGTCAATTACTAAAATTACCAAAAAGTTTAAAGTGAGTTTACTCTTTCTGACCTTATCAGAATATAGGGAGAATGGGGATTTTTACTCTGATAGCATGCTTCATGTGAAACCTAAAATAGTTTAAGACAGACAAATGACACATCTTATAGGACCTATTATTTTCTTTGGGATGCTTCTAGAACCCCAAAAGTAAGGTTTGGGGCCCAGAAAGACCATGCACCTGAGGAAGCATGTATTACTCTGAAAACATAGCCAAAGTCAGGATCATCTGTTAATCTTCAAAGGAGATTAACATGTAAGCAATTAGACTTAGACCTATTAAAGACATGGCTTCTGTTTGAGATCTCAAGTTAGGTAAATGATTTCTATTAGTGTTTAGGAGGGCTTATTAAGAAGCCCAGTCCAGACAAGTTGGGAAAGATTCAGAGATTATATATGACTTCAGGAAAACTGAAGAGAATTTGCTGAAGAGAAATACAACAAAAGAAACTGTATATGAAGTAAGTTCTAAGGTGCCTTTAAAAAGCTCATGGCATATACCTATCCATATACTCCTCAATTCATATGAGAAGCAAGGCCTGATAAAAGTTTTATTCACTATACAGATTTCAAAATTCCTTTTTCAGGTTCTCAATTTTTCATTACTATACTCTAAAAGCCTTAAGGGATCCCATAACCTTTTAGATTGAAATTTAATCCTCATCTTCTACAATGGGATATCATGATGAATAAACAATATCTGTAAATCAATCATTGAATTTTTCAGAAGAATGTAGCAGCAAGATTACTTCTTTCTCATCACTATTCAGTTTCCCTACAGGAAGTATTTAGCAAGATTGATTAAAAACATTAGAAGATCAATGCAAGCTGCAAATGAGGAGGGGAAGGAATTGACTGTAGACCATTTCTGCAGTTCTCTAGTTCTAGCAGCTAATATCAGATGTTCTAGGACATTTGATATTCAGATATAAGAGAAAGAGAGCATATACTACCTGTATATTTACATAAGCTTTGCAAAGTTGGATTTTGATTTTAAGACAATAATGACACTGAGACAGGGTGTTCAATGTAAACTAGATCATTTATGGGATGCAAGGACACCTTTTCTATGTGAATCCAAAGCCATGTACATTTATTTCTAACATCACCCAGACATACTTTGTTATAACTGTTATAACTGTTGACATACTCAGGGATCTCTCCTTTGATAGAAGGCCTATGAATCACAGTCACTAGAATTGTATTTGCAATAGAGTAGATAACAGGTATTTACTGAATTCTTCTAAGCATATAAAATTTCAGAAAAAACTGAATAAACAACCAGAGAGACAAAAAGGTAATTTTTAGGGTGCGTTAATACCATGAAAGTCCCACAAAATAATACCTCCCTAATTGGAAAGGATTCCATCACTTAGTAGCTTTTGAAAAAAAAGTTAACATGTCACATTTATTGCCTCACATATGTTTGATTAATTTATAAGTTTCACTTATAAGCTGATGACAAATAAGAAAACCAATTTATTGATCATTTATAAGTGCTAGAAAATATTCTAAACACTTAGAATTAAAATGAAAACCAAAAAAATTTCCTGCCTCATGGAGTTGGTATTCAAGTGGAGGATAATATACACTTGATAAATACTAAAAAATAAGTATATTCATGAGAATGTGGAAAAAACATGGTGAATGCTAAAGAAGAATAATAGAGGAGAGAAAGGGAGATGAGAATGCTGGTGGGGAGGTTGCTTCAACTTTAAATAAGATAGTTAGAATATACTACTTGAAAAAGTAATAGAATAGCAACAAAGACTCAAAAGACATTGAGTAGTTGGCCACATATATAGATACCAGGGTCAGAATGAGAGAGGTGATACTTTAGAGAAACAGACTATATAGGTAAACTGTAAGTTATACAGCCCCAGACAATGTCAATGAGCTTCAGCAGGTTAGTTGCTCAAAGAAAATAAGAAACTACTAAAAGAAGTAGAAAAAATTGGAGTATAATGTGAGTGGTAAATTGTGTATAGAGCTTTGTTAAGTTATTGCCAAGTAATTGACTTTTATTAGCATTAAGTAAGAAGCCATTTTGAGCAGAGGAGTGATATGACCTATATATTTTTTTAAAATCACTATTCTGAGTGTGTTGAGAATAAACTATGGGAAGGCATGGAAGAAAGCCAGGAGATGGCAAGAGAACATCACAGTAATACAGACAACAGGTAAGTTTGCTAACCCCACCACTCCATCAACCATGATTACCCCTGGCATCTACACTGCAAATTGCAGTGGTCAATTCACAGTACTTATATTACGTGATCCATCAGCAATATTTGACAAATGAAAAAAAAAAAAAGCGAAGATACCTCAAGAGACATAGGGAACACCATCAAGTGTAACAATGTACACATTATTGATATACTAGAAGGAAAAGACATAGAGAAATAGACAGAAAACATATTCAAAGAAATTATGGCAGAACCCTTCCAAAGTCTGGGGAAAAAAATAGAAAGCCAGATCCAGGAAGTCCAAAGGAAACCAAATAAAATAAATCCCAAAAGATACACACCAAGATACTTCATAATCAAACTGTCAAAATTTAAAGACAGAGAGCATTAAAAGCAGCAAGGGAAAAGCAAGTGAATTATCCCATATAAAGAACTGCCATAAAATTATAAGTGGATTTCTCAGCAAAAATACTGCAAACGAGTTGGATGATATATTCAAAATCTTAAAAGATGGAAGGGGAAATGCCAACCAAAAATACTACACTCAACAATCTTGTCTTTCAAAAATAAAAGATGATAAAGACATTCTCAGATATACAAAAACCAAGAAAGCTCATCATCATTAGATCTACCTTATAAGAAATGCTAAAGGGATTTCCTCAAGCAGAAGAGGATGCTAATTAGTAATGTAAAACTACATAAAAGTATAAAACATTTTTTAAGCGCAAAAGCAAGTACATTGTCAAACCCAAAACACTCATAACACTATAATAGTGATGGGTAAATCAATTATATCTCTAATATAAAGGTTAAAAAGCAAAATTATTTTTAAAACTACAGCTACAATAGCTTGTTAACAGATTATATATTATAAAATGATGTAAAGATATATATTATAAAAAGATGTAATAATACAATATATGGTGGTCGGAAGAGTAAAAGTGTAGAGTTTATGTCTGTGATCAAAATTAAGTGGTAGTCAACTTAAAATAGCCAGTTATATGTATGAGAAATTTTATGTAACCCTCAGGGAATCCACAAAGCAAAAACCTATAATAGATACACAAAAGGTATAAAAAGCCATAGCATATCACTACAAAAAGTCATCAAACCACAAAGCAAGAAAGCAAGAAAGGAAAAAGTGAACTGAACATTGACAATAAACATCATGTCACTAGTAAGTCCTCAACTATCAATAATCAATTTAAATGTAAATTAATTTAAATTTTTCCAGTCAAAAGATTTTTTTTTCTTTAAGGACTGAATTCTATGCTAACCACAAGAAACTCACTTCACCTGAAAGGATACTCACAGACTGAAAATAAAAAAGTAGAAAAAGATACTCTATGCAAATAGAAAGAAAAATAACTCAGGGATAGCTATACTTATTACAGACAAAATAGACTTTAGGTAAAAACCAGTAAACAATAAAGTTTAAAGTCTAGGAGTGTGACACCTCCTGCTTTGGGTTTGGTTTTTTTTTTTTTTTTTTTTTTCCTCCTGAGGTTTGTTTTGGCTCTTCGTGGTTGTTTATGTTTCTATATGAATTCCTGTATTGTCATTTCTATGTCTCAGAAGAATGCTGCTGGTAATTTAATGGGTATTGCATTAAATCTGTAGATTACCTTGGGTAGGATGGACATCTTAACAATGTTGATTCTTCCAAACCATGAGCATGGAATATTTTTCCATTTGTTTGTGTCATCTTTGATTTCTTTGAGCAGTGTTTTGTAGTTTTCATTGTAAAGGTCTTTCATATCTCTGCTTAGGAAGATGCCAAGGTATTTCTTTTTTCTTTTTTCTTTTTTTTTTTTGTGGCTATTGTGAATGGGATTGTGCATTTTATTTGGGTTTCTGTTTGTTTATTGCTGGTGTACAGAAATGCAACTGTCTTTTGCACATTGATTTTATACCCTGAGACTTTGCCAAATTCCTTTATCAGTGTAAGGAGGTTTTTGACGGATTCTCTTGGGTTTTCAAGACAAAGAATCATGTCGTCTGCAAAGAGGGGTAACTTAACTTCCTCTTTCCTATTTGGGTACCTGATTTCCTTCTCTTGTCTGATTGCTCCAGCTAGGACTTCCAAAGCTATGTTGAACAGGAGGAGTGGGCATTCTTGTCTTGTTCTGGGTTTCAGGGGAAATGATTCCAATTTCTGTCTGTTTAGCAGTATGTTGGCTATGGGTTTCTCATAGATAGCTCTT